AAGCAGAAAAATCCAAATTTTTTTGTGTGGCATCCAGATATTAAAATATTCACAAAAAATTAATATTTTAAAAATAAATACTTGGAACAGTATGTTTATGCTAATATATCTGCAGGCCAGGGTGGGCTGCCAGTATACAACTTACAGTCAACTAAAATGAAAGTAAACCTCAGTTATTAGAAATTAATATTTTTCCTGAATTAAGTAGGTATTTATTTAGTCAGTATTTGCTGTGTGCCAAGCATCAGACATTCTGCTAGGTAGACACTGAAAATATCAAACAAGAAGGGGTAAAGTGACATGACAGTCCACCTGTGGGCATAGAGGCAATTGTATTAAAAACAACTCTGCAGGCCATTCTTTTTTTTTTTTTTTTTTTGGTGGTACCAGGGTTTGAACTCCAGGCCTTGCACTTGCTGGGCAGGTGCTCTATTACTTGAGCCGCACCCTCAGCCCTTATGTATTGATTTTTGTGTTAATTAGCAAACTAGGTTTTTGGGGTTTTTTTTCATTTTGCTTTTTATGCAGCAAGATGCGCAAGAAAAATGCCTGTAATAGAATTAATATAGAGTTAATATCTTTGGCACCCAGGAGAAAAAGAAGAATGAGTTCCACCATAAGGAATTTGGTAGAGCCTTAACGATGAGCTAATTAGAGAATGAGAGCATTCCTAGAAGAAACATACAACTAAGACTCACACAGTACCTGGCAGGGAATATAATGCAGATGAATCTAGAAAGATATAGTTGAGGCTAGATCAGCCATGCCATTACTCTAATTTTAAAAAGTTTTTTATTTTGGTGGGACTAGATTCCCACCAAAGGGTGATATATTTTTTTCTTACTAAATCTTCAAAATCCAGTGTGAATTTTACACTTAGAGCATGTGACAGTTGAGACTAGGGACATTCAAAGTGTACAGTTGCCATAAGTAGCTGATGGCTACTTTATTGGACAACCTTAGCGCCTATACTATAAAAGATGAGTGGTGATTGGAATGAGATTAGAAATGAGAGGAAGAGTTGTTGGATTAATCTCCATGAAAAATGGTGAGAGCTTGAACAAAAATAATTGCAGAAGTGACGTAGACAAACAGCTTTTTAAAAATGCTTTCAGGCCAAGCATGATAGCATATGCCAACACTCAGAAGGCAAAGGCAGGAGGAGTTTGAGTTATAGGCTAGTCTGGGCTACAAATCAAGGCCCTGTGTAAAACAAAAAAGTTTCATTCTGTGTAGTGTTAGTTTTTTCTTTACTCGGCATTAGGTTCTGCAACTCATCTGTATTGACCTGGGTCCCTATAGTTCTCTATCTTTTTTGCTATATTGTAAGAATATACTTCTGTGTTTTATAACTTTTCCTGTTGCCTTTTTCTTCTCCATTTTTTGATACTATAAACAATATCACTATGAAAATTCATATCCATGTCTTAGTACATATGAGCAAGGGTTTCTTATAGGTTTATAGACTAGTAGGTCCTTTGTGACATGTTTATTACAAATATTTCTTCACCCAGTTTGTAGCTTGTTTTACATATAAAAGCTGTCTTTTCATTTTAAAATTTTCTTCCTGTAGTTGAAATTAACCATCTCTTATGGTTAGTGCTTTTTTAAAAAAAAATCTTAAGTTATTCCCTTTTACATGGTCACAGATCTCCTTTTTAAAAAACTTTAAAAGAACATGGTGGGGCAAGCTTTTAATCCCAGCTACTCAGGAAGCAGAGATTTGGAGGATTGCAATTTGAGTTCAGCCTAAGCAAAATGTTAACAAGTCCCCATCTTAACCAGCAAGCTGGATGTGAACGTACATTCCTGCAATCCCAGCTATGTGGGAGGCATAGGAGGAGGATCCAGAGTCCCAGGCCACAGGCAAAAATGTGAGACTTCATCCAAAAAAATAACTAAAAGTAAAAAAAGACTGGGCTGTGGCTCAAATGGTAGTGTGCCTGCCTAGCAAGTACAAAGCCCTGAATTTCAAACCCCAGTACTGCCAAAAAAAAAAGACTTTTACATTTAAGTCCGCAGCTCATTTATTAATTAACCATTAATTGACCAGCCCTTGCATTAGTTATCTATTACTGTATAACAAATTTCTCCAGATTGGCTTATTAGCTCACAGTTTCTGTGGAGTAGGAATCTGGGAATGGCATAGCTGTGTGGTTTGGGCTCAGGGTTGGTTTCTTTTGGGGTATTAGTCAGGCTCATGACCAGAACTGCAGTCATCTTCAGGCAGCCAGCTCATTCACAGGATTGTTGGCTAGCCTCACAGGTTTCACTTCTAAGCCCAGTCTTATTGTTGCTGGCAGTCCTTGGTTCCATGCCACAAAAATCTCTAAAGTTGCCTGAGTATCTTCCCAACGTGGCAGCTGGCTTCCCCAAATAACAAGAAAGTTCAAGAGAGTTAGAAAGGAAGGCAGAAGTTACAGTCTTTTTATAACCTAATCTTAGAAAACATCCATTTCTTCTATATTCTATTCTAGAAGCAAGTGACTATGTCCAGTATATACTTAAAGAAGTTAAATTTCACTTCTTGATGGAAATTATATCAAAGGGTTTGTGGATATACCTTTAAAATCACTGCACTCCTTTCCCTGGTGACCTACAATACCAACTCTGTTAGGTAAAAATTTTCAACACACGTTAGTCTATTTCTGGCCTCTCTGTTTTCTTCTATTGGTTCAATTTATCTCATTTCTTTTTTTTTTTTCTAGCCCTAAATATGGGTTTATGCCCAAGACTTATTCCTAGCTTCTTGTTTTCACTTTGCATAGTTGTGGATATTTATGATTAGAGAATATTTATCCTTCTTGTCATTGCCAATTTAACAGATAATCCCAGACTATATGCTGGACGTTACCACAGACTCTTCATATCTGTAACCAGACTCTCTTTCCTTCCTTTTTTTCCTTTTTTGGCAGGATGTGTTTGAACCCAGGGTTTCATGCTTGCACAGCAGGCACTCTACTTGAGCCATACTTCCAGACCCATGTCTCTCCTTAGCAAAAAGAAAAAAGAAAAAAAAATTTCTTGATAGCTATTACATATTGATGTTGGCCTACAAAAGTCTGGAATAAGTTCTATCATAGGAAGCTTTAATACCAAATGTGTTAGATTTCCATTGATGTAATAAAATAACTGGGATAATCAGCCTAAAAAAAGGAAAGGTTTACTTAGACACAGTTTCAGAGATTTCAGTCCATGGTCTGTTGGCCCAGTCCTTTTTGGGCCCATGGTAGGCAGTGCATGGTGGAGCATCACTGTTTTTACTTCATGGCAGCTAGCATGGCTGGGGGAAAGAGGTTCCTAATGTCTCCTTCAAAAGAATGTTCCCAATGACCTAACTTCCTTTCACTAGGCCCACCCTCCTAAAGGTTCTATGACTTCCCAATAGCACCATAGGCTGGCAACCAAGCCTTTACTGCATGGGCCTCTGGGAACAGTATAGTATCCAAACTATAGCATTGAGTGTTCAACAGAATAGGCTTTGATACCAAATCTGCATTGAATTTTATCTACCCCTTGCTGTATATGTGTGACTTTGAGCAAAACAGGAAGAATGACAGTGATAATTATGATGGAGGTGGAATAGAGCATCATACATAGGGAAAATAAGTACTGTGGGGTGGGGGGTGTTGTTACTTAAAGAAGTATGGTGAGGGAAAGCCCTCTCTGATATGATCATATTGGAACAGGGAGCTGTGGAAGTGAGGGCATAAACAATGTATTCCAGATAAAGGGAATAGCCAATGCGAAGGCCCTGAAGGAGGAATTAATAGCAAGGAGACAATTTGGGGACTGGGAGCATAGTTCAAATGGTAAAGCATTTGCCTAGCAAGCTCAAGGTCCTGGATTCAATCCCCTGGGAGAAAAAAAAAGAGAGAGCTAGAAAGAACCATTTGTATAGAACAGTTAGGTCGAAGAAAAAGTAGCAACATGAGTCAGAGCTATTAAGGGACTAAAGGATCTCAGAGGATTTTATATGAAGTTTGATTTTATTTAGAGAAAGAGTTCAGTAGTTACTGGAGAGCACTGAGCAGAGGATAAAGTTTTCTGCTTTATTACTTTTAAAAGAACACCTGGGCTGTTGTGTTGATAATAGGCTTGAAGTTGGCAAGTACAAAAGCAGGAAGATCATTTAGAAGGCTGTTCATGTAAAATCCCGCCAAGAAGTCAAGGCAGTTACAATTAGTCGGTAAGAAGTAGTCATATTCCAAATAGATTTTGAAAATAAGAGCTATCAACATTTACTGAAGAATTGAGTTCTTAGTCATAGCACATTCGTGTTTTGTCTTGGAGAAAACTTAAAAGACAAATGGAAAAGAAACTAAATCTTGTATCTTCTGTTTTGTATAGAGATAACTACTATTAAAATCTTAGCGCATAACCTCTCTAGATTTTATTATTTTGCATAGAAGTAGATACATGTACAGTGCATTGTTCAAACAGACTTTATAATGTAATGAACATTTTTCTATATCATTAAATAATACCCAACATTTTAATTTCTGTGTTCCATTGTATAAATGAATTGTAGTTTATCTGACTCCCTATTATTGTTTAGGATGCTTCCGTTGGTTTTTGTATTATAGCATTTGAATAGACATCATTATTACATCTTTTAAGTACATGCATGATCAGGAAAACAAATTCCGACCTACTTTTTTAAACCTGGGTAATACCCAGAAAGTGAAGCTACACAAGGTCATAAAGTAGAATCTTCCTCTACACAAGCTTCTTGCTCCTAACACCTATTAGAATTGATAGCCTAAGTTCAAATAAAAATGAACTCTCATCTCCTCCTTTTGATTTTGATATTAATAAATGAGCTCTCCAAATTTCATACTAGTATTTTGTAGATACATTGAAGTATGAGCAGACGTGATATGGGCTGATAAAAAGTTAGTGAGCAAGCTTTTAGCAATCAATGTGCTTACTATTTTAATGATCCTTGTTTTGGGTAATGCTTCTCTTTTTTCTTTTTCTTTTTGTTTTACTTTGTATAGATTGCTTCCATCTTTGCTTTTGCCACCTGTGGAGGTTTTAAGGGCAAAACAGAAATTCAAGTGAGTTGTGAACATTCCAATAAAACTAATATTACAGCTGCTTTTGGTTATCCATTCAGGTGAGTTTTTTTTTTAATCATTTAATAACTTCTTATTTTCATATTGAGCCAGTAAAATTTCCAAAAATTAAGTGAGTTTGGTGGTGCAGGCCAGTAATCCCAGCATTCTGAAGACTGAGGGAGGCTGAAGCAGGAGGTTCAAGAATTCCAGGTCACACTGGGCATGGAGGGTCATGGTTTGGGACCAGCCCAGGCAAAAAGTTTACGAGATCCCATCCCAGCCAATAAAAAGTTAGGCATGGTGGTATATACCTGTCATCCCACCTGCTCAGGAAGCATAAATAGGAAGATCTTGGTCCTGGCCGGTTCAGGCATAAACAGAAGCCCTTTTTCAGAAAATAACTAAAGTGGGCTAGAGGTGTGGCTCAAGTGATAGAGTGCCTGCTTTGCAAACACAAAGCCAAAGAGATGAGTTCAAAAGCCCATACCACCCAAAAAAAAAAAAAGGGAAAGATTTCCAGCAATTTATTGATGGTAGGTGGTAGAAAATTTCACATTTGCATGCTTGCTTGTGACTATTGCTGCATAGACTATGGTATACAGACCAATGATTGTCTGTAAACTTTTCCTAGTCTGTGATGAAATAAATACAGAAAGGGAAGGTATATTAGCTATTTTTCTCATCCCTGTGACCAAATACCTGACAGAAACAACTTAAGAGAGTAAAGATTTATTTTGGCTCATGGTTCCAGAGGGTTCAGTCTGTGGTTACTTGTGTACAAAATTATGGCAGGGGAAGGTGTAGTGAAGAAGTCCTTCACCTCATGGCAGACAGGAAGGCAAGAGCAAGGAAGAAACCAGGGATTATTATAATTTCCAAATGCATGCCTCCAGTGACCTAATTCCTGTTGCGAGGCCCCCACCTCCTAAAGTTTCTAGAACCTCTCAAAATAGAACCACCAACTGGGGACCAAGCATTTAACACTTGATCCTGTGGGGGACATTTCATAGTCAAACTGTAACAGAGTAAGCAGTTGGCATTGCCTTGACATTTTTATTCTGCCATCCCATAGTAGATTGTTAATGAAAAATAAATTGGAGACTGCTCTGTCTCCTAGTGTAAGAAGCCACAAGTTAGGAAGATCAAGATTTCTCATGTTCCTGCCATTACTGAGCATTAGGTCTTTTTGTTTTGGTTTTGGTGAGACTGGGTTTGAACCCAGGGCTTCCCACTTAGAATGCTGGTGCTCTACTGCTTGAGCCACACCTCCAGCCCAGTATTAGGTCTTAATCTAGGGTTAAGACATGTATTTCTATGAAGTAAAAGATTCCTGTTGTCCTAGCATAAAACCGTACTTACTCTGAAATGAAAATGAACATTTAGTTGGTGGTGTCTTCTGTGTAACTTCAGTATTCATTGAAAAGTTGATTATGTGTCTTACATTTAATCAGGGTGTAAATCTTCTTTCACTTAACCAACTTTGCTTATCTGACCTCTTTGAGACTCAATTTTCTGTCCAATAAACTGGAACTACTAACCTTTTAAGGGTATTTTGATGATTAAATAAAATTTTAGAGACATGTCAGATATCAAGTGCTTACTGATCACCAAAGCCTTTCCTTTCCAATCTCCTGTCCCTTCTGTAACAGTTCCTATACAAGGAACTGTAACTAGCATCTTTAGTAGTGTTTTTGCAGTTTGGATGGGAAAAATTAAAGGTACTGTGAATTTTCAGTTAGCAGCTAATTAATCTAGGGTTAAAATATGAATCATATTGTAATTGGCTCTCCTAGAAACTCTGCTTCCTAGAGTTGGAATATGTCTCAGATTGTGAAATATTGTTATAATCCCTTCTAATCTGGTCATTCTTTATTTCAGGAAGGTAATGTCTTAAGTGAGAGAGTGTTTAATTCAGTCCATATTCAATCTATCATAAACCAGATATAATTTGTGTACATGTATTATGAAAATTTTAGTTTAAATATTTGAATTTTCTTTTTTAAAAAAGGAAAACTTTTTTTGATGTATTAGGGGAATGATTTTTGAAATGTCATTTCAACATTCTTTTTAAATAGTTCTTTCTCTGCTAGGAGAGTCCAAAAATTCATACATTTATTTGACCCTTGTTCTTACAGGTTGAATCAGGCATCATTTCAATCACCTCCAAATGTAAATGTGTGTGATGTAAATTGGAACAGTCATGTCCTCATAGGAGATTACTCTTCGTCTGCACAATTCTATGTTACATTTGCAGTCTTTGTATTCTTGTACTGCATCGCTGCCCTTCTGCTTTATGTTGGTTACACCAACCTATACCGGGATAGCCGGAAACTCCCCATGATTGTAAGTAATCATTTCTTTTTGTACAAAAGTAATTTGTGTACATGTGAGCTGACTGTAAATTATATTTTAAGTTAAATATGTTTTCTTACTAGAAATCAAAAGAAATTTTTTTTCTGTGGAACAGGGCTTCACGCTTGCAAAGCAGGCACTCTGCAGCTCGAGCCACACGTTCAGTCCATTTTGCTCTGATTATTTTGGACATGGGGGTCTTGCAAATTATTTGCTCAGACTGGCCTTGAACCCTGATCCTCTTGATCTCAGCCTCAAGCTTAAGTGTGCATATCAGAGATCAGCAGATTATGCCCCACAAGTCAAATCTGTCTGGTTTTTTTCAGTAAAGTTATTTTTGGAACACTGCTATCCCTGATCCTCTACACATTGTCTATGGCTGCTTTCATGCTTAACTCCTTAGTTTAATGTCTGACCCATATATTTCTTATATTCAATATTAGTGGCATCCATGAGCTAATTTTGGATCTTTGAAATGCCAAGAAAGGTTTTGGATTTGAAGTCCTGATACCTTTCTTAGGGCTTCAGAGTCTGCTGGGCTAGAAATGAAATAATCTCTGAGATTTAAGAATAAACTCTGCTCTTGATTATCTATCCCAAATCCAGAAACAAGCCATGGTTTAAATTAGATCACCACTGTGAAAGAATAACTTCAAATTCAGCTGCCGACTTGAAGGGAGAGCAGAGATATTTTTGTGAAATTGGCCATTTGTGTCTAGGAGAAAATGATGGGGTCTCCTAGTAATTTGTGAACTTGTCTTAAAGGGAAGGCTATTTTAAAATGAAGGAATTACTAGATAACAAATTTTGTTTACTTACTTATTTTTCATTTTTGCTGCCTGGATCATAAGAATGCAAATGGTAAGTAAGGAATAAAATAGTTTTTTAAAAATCATACAGATTTATTCTGTTTACTATACCTGAAGAAACATAAGAAAATCATAGAAGTTTTCATAAAATATTTCTTGGTTAAGAACCTTTCAAAAAGGTATACATTAACTATTTTAACTTACAATGTTTATTCAACAGGAATTACAAGTTAGGAACTTGTAGTTAGAAAGTCTAGTTTTAGACTTTTTAAGCTTTATCTTAAAAAGGGATTAGAATGATTATACAGATAATTGGATTTTGTTGAAACACTTCATAATTAATGGATAATTCTTACTATTTTGTCATTACCCCAACATTATCCCAATTATTTTACTAAATAATCCAGCAATGAGGCCTTTCTTATATTTTGTCTAGTAAACATTAAAAATACTACACTTAAAACAGCATTCAGACTTATTTTATAGCAGTATATGCCAGTGTTTACCAAGTGTAACCTTTTAAATAAAGTATGTCACAAAGGACATTTCTTAGTACCATAGGGTTGAATGTAATCTTGGTTTCTTCATCACTGATTTGAAATTTAATCTTTTTAATTTGATTGCTCATTAATGCCTACTTTTGCTATAGGACTTTGTTGTTACTCTTGTGGCCACTTTTTTGTGGTTGGTGAGTGCTTCAGCCTGGGCTAAAGCTCTTACAGATATTAAAGTAGCCACCGGACCCAGTATTATTCAGGAACTTGTGCCTTGTAATAAGCTACATCTGAAGTGTTTCTTCGGCTCTGTGACTAGTATGGGATCCCTAAATGTATCTGTGGTATGTATGCATTATTTCTATAATTGTGTATTTTAATTGTAAAAACGTTATTAGTAATTCAAGAAGACAATATCTTTCAGTAAGTATCTGTATGAATATAATGTTTTTATTTGAACTAGCCATCAGGATCCTAGTTACATTATGATACTGAAGAAAAGTTTGTTAAGAAAATTATTACCTGTGAACAGGTTTGAACAAGATCGGGATTGAGTCTTACATTTCATTAAAATCCACAAGGCAGGACTTCTACATGAAAGGCAGTAATAGCTATTGCTAACTGTGTTGAAATATGTGCTCGCCGTTGTCCTATCATATATTAAGTTATCCAGCTGTCCTAAAAGAAACATGGAAGGTGGTTTTACTATGTTCATCGTACAACTGGGGGAGAGTGTCCGCTAATTCTCCAAGGGGACACAACTGGTAAAGAACAAGACTTGAGTCAGATCTTTCTAAGTCAGACTTAGCCAGGATATGTGAAAAGAGTACTTTTATGGTTTCTTAAATAATCAATAAAATTTAGTCTATGGAAAGTATTAAGTGTTATTTTGTCTATTTTACCAAAATGCAAATGTGTGTTATTAAATATGTTACTAGTGTGCTGAGTACCCTGTGTTTAGAAAGGTCTCATGTCTTTTTAAGAAACTATTTTTCCAGGAGGTGAATTTGCCCAAAGTTTTGTTTTATAACTTTATGATTCAGAAGCTAGCACAGTGGCTCAAGGGGTAGAGCATCTGCCTAGCAGTGTGAAGTCCTGAATTCAAACCCCGGTACCAGGAAAAAAAAAAATAGTACTTGGTGTTTATATTGATGGTGCTTTGAGCTCAGCAATTTCAGAAATGTTTTGTATACAAATACACAAAAAGCAAAGATCTCATTTTATTTGCCCTTTAGTAACATGATAGCACTGCTATCTCAAGCTTCTAACCCCACTCTTCATAAGTCACTGTTACCTTTCCTTTTGGCAGTACTAGGATTTGAACTCAGGGCCTTGTATTTGCTAAGCAGGTGCTCTACTACTTGAGCTATGCCTAGCTTTTTTTTTGTTTTGTTTTGGTGGGAGTGGGGTTTGAACTCAGGGCCTAGAGCCTTAGAGTTGCAAGGCAGGTGATCTGCCACTTGAGCTACACCTCTAGTCCATTTTGCCATGTTTACTTTGGAGATGGGGTTCCACAAACTATTTGCCTGGGCTTGCATTGAACTGTGATCCTCCTGATCTCACCTTCCTAAGTAACTAGGACTACAGGCCTGAACCACAGGCACCAGGCCCCAGCCCTTTTTGCTGTAGGTAGTTTTCTAATAAGGAATCATGTTTATGCCCACCCAGGCTTGGACCGTGATCAATGAGGAATATACCACCATGCCTGGCTTTTTATTGGTTGATACAGGATCTTGTTAACTTTTTGCACAGGCTGGCCTTGAACTTTGATCCTCCTCCTGCTTCCAGAGTAGCAAGGATTATAGGCATGAGGTTTGGACCTGGCCATAAGTCATTCAACTATATTTATGAATAATTCTGTTAGAATAAGGTAGGCTCAGTTTATTCATCTCTGAGATGTCATCTAGTTACATTAATATCTGGGAAGATTAATTTCTTGTGGATGGATGAATGCAGAATGTAAAGTTCTTCTGGCTGCTGCTGTTGTATTGGAGTAGAAGAGATGGCGATGGGGAAATAGGGGCTGCTCATAGAAAGTGAAAGCCCTAAGAGAAGGAAACCCAGATTCTTGTTCCTCTGAAGTACCAAAGTCTAAATAAAATGTAATCAGAGGAGGGCTTCAGTTTTCCCCAATTTGATCCCATGTTTTGGGTAATGAGCATGCAAAAATAAACATTTTTAGTTGTAATTTTTTTACATGTTAAAGGTGTAGAGGTTTAGCTTTATTGGAGTGGGGGGGATATTTCATTATATATCCAGATTTTGCATTGTCTTTTTTTATTTCACTTTATATGTAGTATTAAACATTATTACCTGAAAATGTAATGTATTTAAAGGAGAACTAAAAAAATTGTTAAATTTTCATTTGTACATATTTTTCTCTTTCATAGATCTTTGGCTTTCTGAATATGATACTTTGGGGAGGAAATGCTTGGTTTGTGTACAAGGAGACCAGCTTACACAGTCCATCAAATACTTCAGCTTCCCATGGCCAAGGTGGCGTGCCGCCTCCTGCCGGGGTGTAGCTGAAGGAAGAAGCACTGTATGAGTACATGTCTATACCACAACTCATTGCCAGCATCTTGAGAGGCATTGTTTGTTTCTAATAAAAGCAATGGCTTTTTCAATGAATTGGTGGGTTTAAAATTTTGCTGCTTTTTTACATAAAACTTGTGCCTTTTGTAGAAATTTAAGATGTAAATGTATTCTTACATGTAAATTTGAAAATTCAGGGGCCTATTGTGAGATGATACACATCTTTAAATGAACAGTAATTTCTTCACTAAGTTGTTTGCTTTCCAAAGTGTTTACACCTTAAGCCTTAAAATTTATCTTCATACAGAAAAGTTATATTGTCATCGTTATAGGAAGATGTTTGAAATAAACACTACTGTAAGTTTGTATATGTACAGATCATATACTTAAGACCTGTCTTTAAGAAAACCTTAATTACATAAATCGTATTTAGAAAAAAACATTTAGTTCAAATTTTATATCTGAACCTTGTTCATGTTATAAAAAATTTTTAACTGCAAAGACCAGGTATATGTTTTATTTCTTTTTTTTTTTTTTTTAATGACCTATTGTACTTAACAGGTGAACTAAAATTGTGATAGGAGCAAAAACTTGATAATTTCTAACAAGTGTGTAGTTAATTTAGCATTTCTGTTACATGAGGTAATAAGCTTTCATTATGCTGGTGGTTTCATAGGCTTACTATAAGTAGAAGGAATATGGTTCAGCTAGGTGTTTTTATATGTATGGACATTCTCTTAGTGATACTTGTTTTCAGTCCTTTGTTGCTCATGCCATGTAAGTGCAGATTGAAATCTAGTCTTAGAATAAAATTATCTTTTTGGCAGACCCTGTTTAGAGGGTTAAGAAAAATTAAGATTGCTTTTTACTTTTGAAACATTTAACATTTACAGTCAAATGAAGTTGCTACTCTTGAGTTTAGCATTGATATTGTGAAAATAAATGCAATTTGGATTTGTTTCTTAATATTCATTCTTATTTCACAAATGGATGATTAAGGAATTATGCATCATAAAGGAACCTAAGTGAGCTGTATTATGGGTGTACTGCCTTTGCACACACATTTGGGTATAGTCTGAATACAGTGCTTATTCATATTTTGCTTCCTAATCTTTTTGTTGTACAGGGATCCAGACTTCCTGTTCTTACAAGATGATTGTTTGTATGTGAAGCACATCTTGCTGTTGCCTTGTTTTTGTTGCTTTTATTCATGGCAAAAATTGTCAGTATGAGAATGTATATGTTTTATGCAACAAACAATAAAGAAGTTGAAAGAAAGAGCGCACTGATTATTATATTACAAAGAAATCATCTTAAAGGCGTGAGCAATGCAAAAGGGAATGAAATTTGGAAGCAGGAACTAGCCCAGTTCTGGTGGCTCATGCCTGTAATCCTAGCTACTCGGGAGGCATCAATCAGGAGCATCACAGTTCAAAGCCAGCCCAGGCAAATAGTGAGACAAGACCCTATCTCAAAAAAAACACTTCATAAAAGGCTGGCCGAATGGCTCAAGGTGAAGGCCATCAGTTCAAACCCCAGTACTGCAAAAAAAAAAGCAGGAAATAGAATTAGTGTTTTTAAGTGTTTGACAAGGAAAAGAATGGACAGAATGCTTTGAACACTGGTTCTATCCCAATTTTCTTTCTCATTTTAGTATTTTGTAAAATGAAAAGGATTTCATTGTAGTATTTCCATACATGCATACTTTGATTATTTCTGCCCTCCCACCTGCTGGTTTCCCTCCCAAATAGTCCAGGCACCTTTTATGTTCATGTTCTTTTTTTCCCCTTTAGCTCTAGTTTGCACATACGAAAGAAAACATGCAGTATTTGTCTTTCTCAGTCTGGCTTACCTTGCTCAACATCATGATCTCCAGTTCTACCCATTGTCCTGAAAAAGACATAATTTCATTCCTTATTGCTGAATAATACTCTATTGTGTATGTACCACATTTTATTCATCTATCCACCAGTTGTTAGGCACCTAGGCCGATTCTATAGCTTTGGCTATTGTGAATAGCGCTGCTATAAACGTGGGTGTGCATATGTCTCTATGCTGACATACGTTCCTTCAGATGTATGTTGTACTTTTAGTTTTTTGAGGAGCCTCCATGCTGATTTCCATAATGGCTGCACTAATTTACATTCCACAGTGGAAAGAGTTCCTTCCCCTCTCCCCGTCCTTGCCAGTTTGTTTTCCTGATGGTAGCCAATCTGAGACGAAGTGGAATCTCAGTGAAGTTTTCATTTGTATGTCCTTTATGGGTAAGGATGTCTGTCAGACACTTCATGTGTTTGTTGAACATTTCTATTTATTCCTTTGAAAATGTTCTTTTGCCCATTAATTGGATTATTCCTTTGGTGTTTAATTTTTGGAGCTCTTCATATAGCCTACATATTAATTCCTTGTCAGATGAATAGCTGGCAAAGATTTTTTTTTTCCCATTCTATAGGCTGGTTCTTCCTCCCCTAATCACCTTTTCTCTCTTTTTTTTTTTTTTTGCTGATACTGGGGTTTGAACTCAGGGCCTTGTGCTTGCCAAGCAAGCACTTGAGCCATACCCCTAGAGCCATACCATACCCCTCGTCATTTTTTCTTGATTTTTCAGATAGGGTTGCACATTTTTGCTTGAGGCAGGCCTTATTCCACATTTACTTCTGCCACATAGCTAGAATTGCAGGTGTGTACCACCACATGGGGCTTGTTCTTTGAGGTAGGTCTCTTAACTTTTTGCCCCAGCTGGCCTCCAATGGTGATCCTTCCGTGTCCTTCCTTATGGCTGGGATTGTAGGCTTGAGTCACCATGCCTAGCTGCAGGCTGTCTCTCCTCTTAGAATCACTTCCTTTGATGTGCAGAAATTTTTTAATCTGATGGAATCCCATTTGTCAGTTCTTTTTGTTATTTCTTCAGCTATTGAAGTACTATTCAGGAAGTCTGCCTACTCCTGTATCCATGAAGTGTTTTCTCTGTTTTCCTCCACTAATTTGAAAGTCAGGTCTTACACTGACATCTTCTTTAAACAAATATTTCTTTTTATTTAATTTTGTGTGAATAATCAAACCCACAAATATTTGTTCAGTAGTTTTAAAATACCTTGTGTGTGTGTGTGTGTGTGTGTGTGTGTGTGTGTGTGTGTGTGTATTTTAGTGGAACTGGGATTTTTTCTTTTTTATTAGCATATATTCATGGGAGGGAGGTTGTGACACTTCTGAATAGCCTTACATTGTACATTGGTGAGATTACCCCCTGAGGTCCTTCATGCATTTTTAATTGATTTTTATACAGAAAGAGTGGTCTGGTTTCAGTCTTGTACATGTGTTTGTTTAGTTTTCCCAGCCACATTTGTTGAAGAGACTTATCTTCTCCAACACGTTTTTGGCACCTCTGATATGAATCTGATGGCTGTAGCTATGTGGGCTTATTTCTGGATCCTCTGTTCTGTTGGTCTGATGTGTATGTTTTTGTGGCAGTACCATGCTGTTTTTGTTACTATGGCTTTGTAGTATAATTTAAAGTCTTATTCTCATTTTAAAATAAAACTCTCAAGATAAGTTTTCCTGATAAACCTTTTCTAATTGACTATTCAGTTAAGCAGCAAAGATTCCTAATTAAAGAGTATATATGCTCTGGAGCCCAACCCCCTGGGTTTGAGTTTTGTCTTCCCACTTGCTTGCTAGAGTTGAAGCCCATTACCCTCCATTCCTCTGTTTGCTTCTCTGAAAAATGGAAATAAGAGTACTAACCTCAACCGTGTGTATGAAAATTAAATGAGTAAATAAACTTAAAGCCCATAAAGTAGTGCTTAGCATACGATAGGCGCTCTGTAAATGTTAGCTGTGATTAATAATTTTTGGTAGGATCTAATGTAGAGATCCTTAACCTGAAGTTGATGGGGCTGCAGCAGGAAGGAGGGTGGTGTTGGCCTCCGCCTTCATAGTATTCCTTTAGGTGTTCTGATGTGTTTTCTTTTGGTGGTAGGTGTTCTCAAGGTTAATGAAATTGAAAGTTAATGGGCTGTTAAGATTTAGAGTAGATTTGGAAAGGAGTCCTGTTACTTTTTTTACTCCCTGCTGTTGAGTCAACATTAGAAAGTTTAGCAATTTAAAAGATAATTTCCAGGACAAAAACAGTAAAAGCCTTAATTTACTAAATGACAGGTAGTAGTCTTATTTAGAAGCAAGACTACTATTGGGGGCAGGTGGAAGGGGGGAGAAATGACCCAAACATTGTATGCACATATGAATTAAAAAGAAAAAAAACGCCTGATTAGGCTGATTTAAAAAAAAAAAAAAGACTACTAATTTGTGAGTAAAGTTCACATGGATAAAGAAACTTCATTTTTAGGCTGGATGCCTAAAAATCACATCTGTAATCCCAACTACTTTGGAGGTGATTAGGAGAATCACAGTTCAAGGCCTTCCCCAGGCAAAAAAATTATCAAGATCCCATCTCAACAAAAAAGCCAGGCATGGACATGGTGTTTCACATTTGTAATCCAACCTACGTGGGAAGCATAAGTAGGAGGATCACTGTCCAGGCAAAAATCATGAAACCTTACCTGAAAAATAGCAGGCAAAAAAGGGCAGGGGTCATGGCTCAAGTGGTACTGTGCCTGCATGAGGGCCTGAGTTCAAACCCCAGTGCTGCCAAAAAGAAAAAACTTTTGTGGAGTTTCATTCATAAGAAATTGCATTGAATTTATAGATCAATTTGTGAATTATATTCTGAGGTTTTGTATTTATAAACATGGGATATCTGCTTTTCAATAACATTTTATAATTTTCTACAAAAGAGATTCAAAGTTTACATCTATCTAGTAGGTTTTATATGTAGTAGCATTTAAACTTAAATTTTAAATTGAATTGTGATTTTTTAGTTTTTTTAGCAGTATTAGAGTTTGAACTCAGGGTCTCACCCTTGCTGGACAAGTTGCTCTACTTCTTGAGTCACTCCCCCAGCCCCCTTTTGCTTTAGGTTTTTTGTTTCTTTTGGCACAGAGGTTTCAAACTCATGACTTCGCATTTACTAGGCAGTTTCTTTTCAGTTAGGGAGTCCTTCTCCCTGCAGCCTCCTGGAGAGCTGGGATCATAGGTACTGATTGGCCAGGCCAACCTGCAACCACCATCCTCCCAACCTCTGAATTCCAAGTAGCTGGGATGACAGGCGTGAGCCACTGCACCCAGCTGAATTGTAGTTGTTTATTGCTGGTATGCAAAGACTTCTGTGATTTATATCTATTATTGTTGATAGAAACACAAGACAAGCAAATATTGATAGTTTTGTTTATTATGTTTGGGAATTAGATTAAACCCTCTTTCTCTAGTTATCTTTTTCTAACAATACGATAGTTGTTACTGAAATCTGTGAAGAGTAGAACGTGTACTTACTGATGCACTGAAACTTTGCACAATAATCCTGGGTGATCAAACAAATTTTTAATTTTGATGAAGTCAAATTCATATTTCGCTTATAGATTGCGCTTTTGGTTTTGGGTCTATGAAACCTTTGT